ACCCATTCCAACTTATTACTGAAAGAAAAATGAAGATAAAGATTAGGCTACCTTTTTCCAAAATTAAAGTACTTTCTCTGCCTAGATGGGAATAGTACATTAAGTTGGAATGATTTTTTAAAAACCGTTTTTCCCATTTTTGTGGATGAGATAATTTAAATGTTTAAGATATTCTTTAAAATCTGTTGTACATATCTGATGACAAAGAAGGACTTCTAAGATGCTTAAGGATTCAAATTGAAGGAAATGATTTGATGTCTGGTGGTCATACCTGCTGCGTTGGACACAGCCATGCCCTGATAACCTGCTAGGTTTCTGCTTGATCCAACTTGCAAAATAAAAGGGTCCAGCCCTTACTTCTAAGGTAACTGCACCCCCATTCACCCTTGAGGCCTCTCCCCAGTGAGTTTATTCATCAGTCAGGCTCTGACCTGCAGCTTGCCCAACAGGCTGAAGTCTCTGGTTTCTGCTGACCTGGTAGATTAGGCCCTTGTATTTAGATGCATGGGCCAGATCGGTACCAGGTGAAAAGAAGATTCTAGCTTGAGATACTCGATCCATCCCACCCTGATCTGAGAAAAACTTCAGGATTCGTGAGAGCAGAGGCTGCTGAGGGGTGGTTTTACTTAGACCATTCCAGTTCTCTCGCACAATAGAGTAACTCCAGAGTCATCTGTGACAAATCACTTACACATGAACAGGCTGTTGACTGAACCATGGACACCAAAGTCTAGCTTTCTGAGTGGCAAACACATTTTCATTTAGCCTGTGGCTCTTGCCATGGAACACCAGCAGGCAGGCCATCGCCACACACCTTCTGGGTACCTGAACGGAGTGGCCACTTAGAGAATGATGAAGGTGTGACCTTAAGTTATACCTGTGCAAGCTAAGGGATGGCATGGGGTGGATCCCAGACCCAACTTTGCATCAAAATCAGTTGGAGCTTTGCAAAAGTATAGGTCTTCAGGCTCCCCCGAGACACCTCAAATCAGGATGGATCTGGGTGGCTCTGGGAATAGCACTTTTGAAAATCTCCTTTTGAGATCCATTTGCCACCTGCCCTCCACTAATTTTGGATTTGGTGTTTGGGAATCACTGAACCAGATAACTGCTGCTAGCATAGTAACTTCCCAGAAAATAAACTGGTTTTATCTAGAACTCTGGCTAAGCCCAAGAAATATTTCTAAGGAGAAGCTTTCTGTGGAAGTTATTCATTTTAATTTGGCTGAAGTTGTTGCTGTCGCTTTTAACCACACACAATTTAATTCCCATTTGTAATCAGACTAGTAAAAATTAAAAGTTAAATCTATTTCTATTTTTAGATTATTATGTATGCTGGTTGGTGGGGAAAATTCAGAACAAATTTAGAACAAATACATATATATATATATCAATGAATAGCAACTAGAACAATTAAAATGTCTATGACATTTTGGCTTTGGGGCTTTACACTTAATAACAGTGAATCTCCAAAATAGCTGTGGTTAACCCACTGAACTGGAATAGGTTTTCATGAAAAAATAGCAGAAATATGCGTCTGCTCCCAGAGTTTATATTGTTTCTTTTTGATGAAAAGAATAGCTCTGAATTTTGCTCCTTTGGATAACACAGTGTTGTCAATGACATTCCAATCCTTTTCGTTAAACCAATGAGAAGAACAGAAGATGGGAGGTGTGGGGGCTCATTTCCCTGAATTAATTTGCTGGCAGAGATTTTGTTCAAACCTTGTGCTGAACCAAATTCTTTTCCAAGACTCTTCAGAGTTCAATAAAAGTGTTTGTCTGGATATAAACTTTAAAAAGCATTTTTTGCTTGCTTGCTTTAAGATAGTTTACATACCACCCACTTCCCCAGCTCAGGAAGAATCAGAAATAGCCATACCACATCATGAGACATGAATACAATCTCTGTAGTTGTTGGAAAACTCATGAAAATTTGTAGAACACAGCCAGTGAACTGAGTGAAGAGGAAGAATCAACCATTTGCACAAACCCAACTCCCATCTTAGAGGGTCATTCATCCTTTCAGACAACTTCTCCCAAGTGCCTTTATGTGCCAGACACCAGGACAGGGGATTTATAGAGACTAATAAATAGTTCCCACCGGTAAGAAACCCTGAGGAAGAATTACAGGTGTCGAATAATTACAATACTATTGGATAATTTGAATACAGTGTCATCAAAATACACAGAAGGACAATTCATGAGTTGGACCTTGCAGGATGCATAGGAGTTTGCTGGATAAGGAAGGGAAGGACATCTTTCCCACCCCCCAAATCTTAAAAGCACAGAGGAAATGTCATGCATGGTCAGTGGCCATGAGAGATGTAAAGCAGGTTTGAGAGATGTAGTTTGCCTGAGTCTGCAGGTCCTAGCAGGGTCTGGGTCATTGAGGGTAGTGACTTATGCTCAGAATTTAGATTTTATTTTTCAGGGGATGGTGTAGCCTTTGAAGAGTAAGATTTCTGAGGGCAGGATGAAGGAAAAAGATAAGACTTGAGGCATGGAGAGTAGGTAGAAACCCATGACAAAGTCAAGGTGAGTGCTGATTGGCACTTGAACCAAATCAGAAGTAACAGAGAGGAAGGAGAAAAGTCAGATGTGAGAGCTCTTTGGGGAATGCACTTGACAGTTTGGCTGGATGAGGATGACCAAATGGACTTCAGGCTAGGAGGTAAGAGGGAAAATAACTGAGCAAGGGCTGATTCTCCAACCTCTTGTCTTCTCTCTCCTGGCCACCATGTTGCCCTTGTTTTCTTAGATCCCTTTCCTGTTTTCTTGTTCCTACTTTTTTTACACTCATCCATTAAGAAATGAAATATCGCTACCACCGTCCCAAGGGCCGCCATCACCAAAAACTATCCTATACATTATAAGCGTTTGGACTACAAACAGAAGCTTGTGAGGCAGTGGGTCCCTGAGGCTCATCATTTCTCAGCCATAGAAGTAAAAGCCGTAAGCCCTGTTCTTTTCACATCTGTGCCTCACTCCAGTCTTATAACCACTCTCGTAGGAAAGACAAATTTTACTGTTCTCATTTTAAGGAGAAAGAAACTGAGGCTGAGTCCACGGGCCACTCTTGGGGAAGCAGTATTGAGTTGCCTAGGAAAGTGGTCCCAACCATCCCAGAGTGGTGTCCCACTGCCCCTGTGATGTTACGCCCGTGACATAAACTCTGAAAGTCTCAATTTCCTTCTCTGAAAATGGGGACCACAAAAGGACCTGCGTCCTGGGATCACTGCCCAGGCTAAAGGAAGTGACGCACAGAAAGTGCTTGGCCCACACCTGTTGAAGTCTTAATCCATCTTGCTGTTACTTCTACATCTTGCTGTTACTTCTAGCTCCAGAGTCCCTCTACCATGGTGTCCCCCACTCCTGGGAGAGGAGACATTCTTTCAGAAAGCTGTAGTCTGCCACTGGATGAATTTCTGCTTGCCAACTAAAGAAAAATGCCAGACAGAAAAGGGACTATTTGCCTGGGTCAGGCGTATCACTCAATAGCCCCAACTCTTGCCCAGAAGTGTTTTCAAGTACAAAACAGATAGCATCAATGGAGAGATGTTAATTTTTCAAGACCCACCCTCGGGCCCTGAGAGAGCTTCCTAACCTTGCAAGAAGAGTAAGTTGGTAGAGTCAAAGTCAACATGTCTGTGTGTCTTACAAGAGGACCAACTACTAGGCTTGGGTGGGGTTTTTGGCTTACCCCACATGGCAGCTTCAGAAGAAGCTCCTATCAGAGTCATCAGGGTATTCCTGAGATCCCGGCCAAGCTGGGTGTCCGCACTGTTGATGAGGGCCGGGGGCAAGCAGGGTGTCCTCCTTGCAGCCACTTAATGGCCTGCAGTCTTTCTTGAGAAAAACTTGTTTCCAGTTCTGATGTCAGGATCTATTTCCACCTTGTCTGGCTTTTCTACCCAGTGCTAATGATGCATAATGAACAACATGAAGATGGCGGGGAGGGACAGGGGATCGAGAACATTGGTGTATTATGTAGGGGCATCATGGGGGAAGGATATCTAAGGAAAACAATTCAGGGAGAAAGGAAGAGAACTTCCATTCTGCTGGGTGGAATAAACGTTTGACTGAGCAGCATTCTGTCCAGCTGGGGAAAGGCCAAGACTAATTTAACCTTTGGTCAGTCAAATGGTTGGGAGTTAGCTAGCTTCCTTTTCCTCTTACATCACTCCTAGATATTCAGACAAAAATAACATGGTCCCGATTACATGACATTATGGGCTCTGCAAATCCACCAGGGAGGACAGTGTTGAAACCCCTCAGAGACATATTAATCCTAGCAAAGCAACAGCTATAAGATTGATACAAACAGAAGAAACAACAGCCTATTGGTTCCAGGCTTGGTTCGGAGTTTATCTTAATCCAAGCAATTAAAACAAAGGGATTAAAAGCACTAATTTGGGAGCATTTCTGTTACTTGAAGATGGTGCTTTCTGAAATGCTCAGCAGTCCTTGGTGTGTTAGAGTCTGCATTTGGCACACTTTGGGATTTAATTCCTAAATTTGATCCTTTTTTTTTTTTTTATCCTTACTGTTTAAAATGGAAATAAATGCATTGAGAAAGAGGTGAGCGCGGCTGAAGCAGAGCTTCAGCATCAGGCTTCTGCCGGGGTAGCCATGGGGCAGGAGGCGTTGCTGCCCTGGGCCCAAAGCTGGCATTCAGGGGCTGGGCACCTGGCCCTCCTCCCTGGGCTGATTGCATCCAGAGCGGACACTTGAGCATTTCCTGAAAGTATAGCCTGCCGTCCCTGGAGGACAATCTGAAGAACTTGTATGCACCATTGACACTCAAAAATCAAAATATTTCCTCTCCCCAGGATGCAGCAGCCCTCTCCACACCTGCCCGCTTTGCAATTGGGCATTACTTGGAGACCCATTATGAACCCTAGAATAGAAATCTCTCAGCTGGAGCTGAACTCAACTGAAAGGAACACACTTTTAGGACAAGAAGAAATCGATTTTAATGAGTAAGGGCATGACGTCTATATGGAGACTGCCCTGGATCCCAATTTAGCTCAGCCCATTGCTGTTTGCATGACCTTGGGCAAGGCCGCCTCTGGGCCTCAGTGCCCACCTTTGGGCAACGAAGGTAAGAATGGCTTCTACCTCCCAGGGTGGCTTGGGAGAATGGATGACAATGTTTGCAAAGGGCTCAGCACAGGCCTGATGACTGAGGACAAAATAATGGAACTGCTGTCACCGTCAGAACCACAGTCTTGGAGGTCTTGGCAGACTTCTGGCAAACAAGAAATTGGGTGGCAGCTGGTCCCCCTGAAATGATCTTCAGGATTGGCCTAATTTCGAACCCTCTGGTCATAAAGGCAGAGACAGTCAGGACGGCAGCCACGCAATCAGTGAAGAGTCCCATCGCCAAGTCTGGCAAGCAAGCTGAGGAGCTCTGAGTCTTTCTCCCAGGGACAGCCTCTGCTAGCGTAGGGAGGGGGAGCAGTTACTGGGAAGAGGGAGTGAACTTATCAAAAAAATAGAAGGCAGCCATCCCAGCACAATAGGGCACACGGATGCTTGCGACCTGTTTCCGTGCTCACTGGCTCACACATCCATCCGTCCATCTTTCCATGCATCCATCCATCCATCCATTCATCCACCCAACACTTCCACTTAATCTGTGCCTGGTAGGCCCTGCGCTAAATTCTGTTCATACAGCATAGGCATTTAATAAAACATGGCCCAGTGGCAGAGCCATGTTTAAAACTTAATCAATATTTAACTTAAAATGGTGTCATTTTTTGGTATTATGTTCAGTTTGCCACTGTATAGTACATACTTAGTCCTGGATGCAGTGTTCAGTGATTCATTAGTTACATATAACCCCCAGTGTTCATCACAGCACGTGCCCTCCTCAATACCCATCACCCTGTTAGCTCCTCCCCTCTGAAACCCCCAGATTGTTTCTTGGGGTCCATAGTTTCTCATGGTTCGTCTCCCTCTCTGATTTCTCCCCCTTTGGTTTCCCTCTCTTCCCCTATTGTCCTCTGTGCTATTGCTTATGTTCCTTGTGTGAGTGAAACCCTATGATAATTGTCTTTCTCTGCTTGACTTACTTCACTTAGCATAATCCTCTCCAGTTCCGTCCGCGTCGATGCAAATGGTGGGTATTCATCCTTTCTGATGGCTGAAAATAAAATAAAATATAAAATAAAATAAAATAAAATAAAATAGGTCCACTCAAAAAAAAAAAGTTCAATCTGGAGATTCTTTACGAAAAGTAACAGCAAAGCAGATTTAAAAGAGCCTGTAAGATCAATCACTGTTCTTCTGCACTTAAGTAAATAATCAGGCCTCATTCACTAAAACTTAGCTTATTTTAAATAAAATAAAATTGTGTCATTTTTATGGTTTATTCCTAAAGTAGGGCACTATGATAGGAAACAGTGGGGGGCCGACTTTACAGTGGGGTTCAGGGGGCACCCTATTGATGAACGGCCAGAAATGACCCCAGGCGACTGGAGATCTGAGCTCGTGCCTCCTTGTGTCTCGGGTCAACAGCCTCATCCCACCAGCTCTGGCCCCCTCCTTGACTTTGGTCTTGTAAACTGTTACCTCTTCTGGTTATGCAACACGCTCAGATGCATAGTTTCACTCAGGGAATAAGCATATAAAGTGCAAATTAGTTCAAGGCCTTCATTCTCTCTGCAGAACTCGGGCCCGGCCTGGGGGGTGGGGTGCTTGTCCACAGTCACCCAGCAGGCTGGGTCAGCACTCCTCCCCTCCCTGCATGACTCAGTGCTCACACCCTGACCCCTCTCACATCCCACTTCTTCCCCAGGAAAGAATGATGAGAGGCACATGTCTCAAATGTCTCCTGGAGAAAGTCCTTTTGGGGCAGCCCCACTGTTGGGGGAAAACTTAGTCCCTTCTTAGAGATCCTGATCTATTCTCAGGTTCTTCTGGGACCCCGCCATTAAAGAATAATCAAAGATGAAATGAAATCAAATGAAATAGAAGGAAATACAGTGAACCATTGCAGCACACGTGAGAGCTAACACCTTCCGAACAAGAATCACGGCTTCTTGGCTCACCGTGTTTATATTCAGACTGGCCTGGCTTCCAGGTTGCTCTACCCCAGAGGGAACATGTTTCTGAATATTTCAGACTTGTCTATGGACTTTTTGCTAGCACAGCACATAACTGGTGGGACTCCAACCCAGATCTGTTGACTCTCAGCCCAGTGCTTTTCAACTCCAACATATGAAGTTAGTAACAAATTCTGTTTGGGATGCATGGAGGCTACAGAAATGGTGACTATTTCAAACGGTGATTTCCCCTGGGCAGATAGAACGAGGCAGATGGTCACTAATTTATTCAGCAAACATTTGCTGAATGCTAGCAAGTCAGGCCTTGCGGATATCCTGGTGAATAAGACCAGTTCAAGTCCCGCCCTCATGGAGATAATAATTTCCAGAAAATTCATACCATAAACACATAACTACCCAGATAATGATTGATTACAACAGTACTAGGTGCCAGATGGGTTTGTCCCAGAAGGACTTACGATCTGCCCTCCCGCACCAGGTCCTGTTGCGGTCCTACCCGTCTCAGCACACTACCGCCACTCCCCCCAGTGTGGAAGCCAATGAGCGGGCGGTCATTCTCATCCTGCACACTCCCCGTTACCAGTTCCGTACCAGAGCCCCTGGATCGTGTTCCCTAAGTATCGGCACCCCCTCGGCCCTTGTCTTCAGCAGAATCAGCATCTTCTGCCAGCATCACTGGAGTCCCCCACCCAGCTTCACCTCCCCGCCACGGGGACCCTGCAATCCATCCTACACCGAGGCAGCCACAGTGCTAGCCTCAAAGGAAACACCTGATTGATTACCCTCTCTCCCCCACCTCTACTCCTCTACCTTCCTACGCCTACCCCCCCATCCCACACGTACAACCTCAATGGCTCTTTGCTCTGAGAATCAAAACAAGCTCCAGAGCATCTTCTACCTAGTCCTGGATATTCTGCCCTTCCCTCCCTCCCCCAGCTCATACTGGACGCGGCTGTGCTCTCTGCCCCAACCACTCCAGCCCTCTTTCAGGCTCTGATATGGGCTTTGCCTCCTGACAAACAGCCTTTGTACAGGTTCCTCCTCTGCTTGGAAGGCTCATGTCTCCCCTGTTGTCTAATCCAGCTTCCCTGACCTTCCCAACTAGGTCCAGTCCCCAGGTAATGCATTCCTGGAGCCCATCACAGGTGCACTCCTATGTCCACCAACTTGATTGGCCGCTCCCACAAGACCGCGAGCTCCACAAGGGACATGCTTGTCTTGGCTCATTGTATTTCCGATATCTGAACCAGGGCCTTGTATAGAGTAAGGAGTGAATGGATGAATGAATGAATGAATGAATGAACTCCCTGGGGAACTTTGGGCTGAGAAGTAGAAGACAAACAGAAGCCAGTTGGATAAAAGGACCTGGGGAGGCAGGAATATTCCAGTCTGAAGGAGAAGCATGCCCGCGGGGAAGAACTGAAATAGACCCTCCCTTACTTTCCAGAGAGAACCTGGGGACATCACAGAGAAATGATGTGAAGATAGTGCCCTCCTTCCTGAATGGGGGCAGAGAATTGCAGTCTCAGTTAATGTGGGGGTAGGGGCCGAGGCAAGGAACTCTTTGTAATGAACACAGTTCAGGAAGGAGGCAAATATGCATACAACATAAAAAGACCAGAGCTATTTCATAAAATCAAAGTCATGTAAATAGAAAAGAAAAAAAAAAGGTTTTCAGCATCATTAAGAAAATAAATAGGCAAGCCAGAGACTGATAGAAAATTTGCAAGAGGGCCACAGTCTCCGCTGAGAGTCGCCGTGGGTTCCTGCTTCAACAGTGCTTGGACGGAACCCAGCGCTCGTCCCCCACCCGGGTCGGCCGTTCAGAGCCAGCCCTCCGCCATCTCTTCGCCGCGCCCTCGGACCGCTCCAAGGGCCCCGCCGCCGCTCGCCGCCGCCTTTTCTCAGCCGCCGCCATGACGCCCGCGTCCCCCTCGCAGGTGCGCCAGAACTACCACCAGGACTCGGAGGCCGCCCTCAACCGCCAGATCAACCTGGAGCTCTACGCCTCCTACGTCTACCTGTCCATGTCTTACTATTTTGACCGCGATGATGTGGCTTTGAAGAACTTCGCCAAACATTTTCTTCACCAATCTCATGAGGAGAGGGAACATGCTGAGAAACTGATGAAGCTGCAGAACCAACGAGGTGGCCGAATCTTCCTTCAGGATATCAAGAAACCAGACCGTGATGATTGGGAGAACGGGCTGAATGCAATGGAGTGTGCATTACATTTGGAAAAGAGCGTGAATCAGTCACTACTGGAACTGCACAAACTGGCCCCTGATAAAAGTGACCCCCATTTGTGTGACTTCATTGAGACTCATTACCTGAATGAGCAGGTGAAATCCATCAAAGAATTGGGTGACCACATAACCAACCTGCGCAAGATGGGGGCTCCCGAATCTGGCATGGCAGAGTATCTCTTTGACAAGCACACCTTGGGAAACAGTGATAGTGAAAGCTAAGCCTTAGGCTGTCTTCCCATAGCCACAAGGGTGACTTCCCTGGTCACCAAGGCAGTGCATGCATGTTGGGGTTACCTTTACCTTTTCTATAAGTTGTACCAAAACATCTACTTTACTTCTTTCATTTGTACCATTCTTCAAATAAAGTAATTTGGTACCCCCCCCCAAAAAAAAGAAAATTTGCAAGAGGGCGCCTGGGTGGCTCAGATGGTTAAGCGTCTGCCTTCGGCTCGGGTCATGATCCCAGGGTCCTGGGATCGAGTCCCGCATCAGGCTCCCTGCTGCTTGGGAGCCTGCTTCTCCCTCTGCTTCTCTCTCTCTCTCTCTCTCCTCCTCTGTCTCTCATGAATAGATAAATAAAATCTTTAAAAAAAAAAAAAAGAAAATTTGCAAGATAGGTATCTGAGAAAGGACTGATCTCCTAGATACATAAAAAGAATCCCTACACCTCAGTAATAAAAAAGAGGAATCAATTTTAAACAGATATTTGATAACTTATATTTCAAGAGATAATTTCAACATTACTATTCAACAAATTTACAAAGGCAGATATACAAATGGCCATAGCACATTAAGAAAGCAGGGAAATGCAAATTAAACCACAATCAGCTAGCACTGCACACCCACCAGTATGTTCAAAATCACACCGGGCGTCTGGGTGGCTCAGTCGGTTAAGCATCTGTCTTCAGCTCAGGTCATGATCTCAGGGTCCTGGGATAGAGCCCTGAGTCTGGCTCCCTGCTCAGTGGAGGGTCTGCTTCTTCTCCCTCTCCCTCTATTCCTCGCCCCTGCTCATTCTCTCTCTCATATATATCCTTTTTAAAAAAAAAAAATCACAATGATTAAAAAAAAAAGTTTTCATCATAGACCACACTGTGGCATCCTCAGAAAAAAAGATTTACTTTGCACATTGGCGCATGCTCATAGGCGATTGAGAGAGAAAGCAGGGGGGAGCATCCCCCAGGGATAAAGACCAAACTGCAAATGAAGTGGTCACTTAGCACTCTGTCCCTCCGAGCGGGGAGAAGCCTGGGAAGAGGCATGGCCTGTTAGTCTCTGCCAGCTCTGAGCCAGGGCCATGGTGGACAGGAGAGGGCTCTGATGTCCCATGGAGAGTGTGAGAATCCTGAGGAAGGCGGACTGGGTTTTTGTCTTAGCTTGGGGCACCTTGATAAAATGCCGTAGACTGAGTGGTTTCTATGGCAGACATTTATTTCTCATAGTTCTGGAGGCTAGAAGTCCAAAGTCAAGGTGCTGGCAGATTCGGCGTCTGGTGAGGGCCTTCTTCCTGGGTTACAGATGGTTGCCCTCTCACTGCGGCCTCACCTGGCCTGTCCTCAGTGTGTGAACATGGAGAGGGAGCTCCGGTATCTCTTCCTCTTCTTATAAGGGCCCTAGTCCCATTATGGGGGGCCCCCACCCTCATGACTGCATCTCGATCTAATTATCCCCCAAAGCCCCACCTCCCATTGCCATCACATTAGAGGTTAGGGCTTCGACCTAGGAATTTTGGGGGACACCGATATTCAGACCATAACAGCTTTGGATGTGGGGTATTCAAGGAGACCGAAAGTAGGTCTCCTCCTGCTTGAGGAGGTAGTGAGGGTGGAGGAGTAGGGGCAGAATCTCCTCAAACAGGGCTTCTATCTGAACCTAGCTCCAGCCCAAGGGACAAGTTAGCCTAAGTCAGAACTGCCCCACTCCCACTGGGTACAGTTTGGGGATGTTCTCTTAAACCTTCAGGAAAACAACTGCTTAAAACTCATCGAGAGTTAGCAGGTGGTCTGTCAATGGGAACAGATGTTGGAAGTAAGGAGGCGTGGGTGCCACTGGGGAGTTTCCAAGGACTCTGGTTCCCTGGTACGACCTCGTGTCAGGATGTACCACAGTAACTAGGGAGGCAAGGACCACAGAGCAGCTGAGAAGCCTGCTAGCCCGGGAGAACGTAGGGCCCCTCCTTTGATCTTTCCCTTCCCTCAGCAAGTTCTCAGGGTGAGTCAGATGCCACAGAAAGGAGAGACCCTGCCCTGCAGAAGGGAATTGGGCTGTCAATAGGGGACAGGAAGGACGCCCAGCATCCAGCAGTGCAGGGTGGGAGAGTCACAGGGTGGGCCAGCAGCCTTGGGGCCACACTCACTCTGTTGACACGATTCGAGGACAGCCGGAAGCCATGGGCAGGCTCTCAGTGGTGAAACGCCCTGCGAGTCACATTCATAGATCCACTGGCCATGGGGTGGGCAATGGATATGGGGGAGCCAGAGTGACTGCAGAGAGGCCGCCGGGAAGCCACTACCAGACCATATCCCAGGAGAGGGAGGGGGTGGTGGCCTGGGCCAGGCGGTTACAGAGGAGGTGGAGGGAGGAAGTGCTCCCACACATGGTGATGAACAACAATGGCGGTGGGGGGAAGAGGAGGCGGCCAGGTAGACTGTGCCGGGGTTTCTGGGTGGTGGGTGGCACGGTTGCCTGGGCTGGGGGGACACGGGAGGGGGATCCCACACTCTTTGGAGGAGACCATTTCTGCGGCTATTTCCTCCAGAGAACTCCACGAGCAGCTTCCCAGTGGCAGTGGATCCTGTTGATGCAGTGACTTCCCTCCTCGGCACAGCTCTGTGTGGAAGTGGGTGCCTGTGGGGGTTTTAGTTTGCTTTTTTGCCTTTGAAATGACTGGTTCTCATTTCCTCCTCCGCACGCTCTCTGAAGTGGTGTGTTTGGGAATGTTACATAACGGCCCTGCCCCATCTCTCTGCTGTTTATCTTTGCCTGAGGACCTCCCTCCCCGACAGGATGGGTGACCACATCAGTTTCAACAGAATGAATTTGTCAAGTACCTGCCTAGGAGGCCAGGGCTGGGCTCGGTCCTCTGTAATTGCTGGAAAGCCAACAAAAGCCTTTGGGATAAAAGTGTCCTCCTTTGCTAAAAAGTTTAGACCTCATGACTCCCTTCCCTGTGGCTTCAGGTACATTTCGGGGATGGGCCCTCGGGGTAGTACGAGAAAGACGATGATAAAGAATAGTAAAGGGAGGATCATTAAGGACACTACAGGATGTTGGCTAATGAATGCTCAGTACGTGCCGGCTCACGTTGTTGCACTTTTTGGACTTAGAGCCAAAGCGCTTTATCTTTTGGCTGTTTCAGTTTTTCCACATGCAGGTCCTGCTCTCTCTTGGGCCTCCCATTCCACTTTCGCAGCTTAATCCGCCCCCCTTTTCCTTCATCTTTCTTCTGACAGCTACTCTTTTCTTGCCCTCGGTTTTCTGGCTTCTGGTCTCCCTGGCTCCCTTGCTGACTTCTGGCTCCTCACATGCCTGCTCCCCCTCCCCCACCCCGCCCCCCCTTCTCTCTCTTTCTTTCTCTCCTTGTCACCATTTGTTCTTTATCACCCTCCTTTCTGGCTGGCTGATGTTGGAAACATTTCAGGAATTTTTAATTGAAAATACCATGAGAACTGTTATCACCTCCGTTTCACCAGGGAGAGAACCCGCGGCTCGGGCACGCTGATGGGTGCCTCCCGGGGCGGGTGGGGTTTAATATCTCACCCAGGTTAACTGGGGCAGCTGGGCTCTGCTAACCTAGGCCCCGGGGTGGAATGTGAGAAATGAAATATGGCCTGACAGGAAAGAGGGTGTGTCGAATAACCAAAAATTCCTATAAAGTCTGAGGAGGTGGGAGAGGAGAAGAGGATGAGGAATTAGTGGAAAGAAACAAAACAACCAGGAATTCTACCAGGCCTCTCTCTCTCTGTCTCTCTCAACTGTCCACCACAAAAATGCCTGTGCAGGAAAGCAGGTAGCACCTGGAAGCTAGAGAAGGAGCCCCAGCCTCCTTCCTCCTGCCTGGAGCACTGGGTGCCCGCCCTCTGTTCTCACAGCTGTCCCCGGTCCTGACTCTGTGGCCTGGGTCAGATGAGCTCAGCCTCCTTTGATCTCCTCCCCTGTGAGGTCACCAGCTCCCCCCCCCCCCACCCAGGCCTTTTTCCAGGTTCCAGGTCAGCCTTCACATCTGCAGGGCCTCAGAAACTGGGAGGCTGAGGAAGACAGCGACAGCAGGCCGTGGTGGGGGGCAGGCTGGCCCCGCTTACGGAACGCCGTGTCAGAACCGGAGGGTCCTACTTCCCACCAGTTGCTTTGGAACAGAGAAGGCAGGCAGGGATGCCAAGACAATAGGGCAACAAGATGGTGCTCTGGTTCCTTACTCCTTTCCTACATCCTCAGTTGGAGTCAGGGGCTACGGGGGCCCTGGATCACAGACTATGGGAGCTGGAATGGACCAGAGCAGATGTCTCCTCCACCGTCCCCAGCCTGGGCCCTGGAGCCAGCAAGCAAGCCCTCCCACCCACCTTCAAGCAGGGTAGCTCCGCCTTTGTATGTTTCTTGTAAAGAGGTCCTGCGCGAGATTTTGAGAAAAGAATTCCACTGCTAAAAACATTTAAAAGTAACATTTTGAAATCCACTGATTTAGTCTAAGCCTCTCCTACTTATTTATGAAGAAATGGAGGCCCAGAGAAGCTGTGCTATGAGCCAAAATAATATAGCTATAACTACATAGTCAGCCCAGCCTCGGGCCTCCCACCCTCAGCCGATCTCCCCAGTGACTGCAGCAGCCCCAAAGAGCAGAGGCAAGGCCACAGCACGAGTGAGGCTGCAGGTACTTGACATGGAAACTGAGGCCCAGAAGGCCCCTTTGGTTCCCCAGGGGCATGAAGGTATGCTTTTTCAGGTCTCGAGCAGAGCAGTTTCTGTGACTCCGGGGATAAAACATCGTCAGTATTTCCCTCCGGAGCTGTTGTGATTGACACAGTGTTTCTGCCACCTCACAGATTATCTGCAGCTACACACTGAGCTCCCTTATGCCCAGAGCTAGGAATCCTGGAAATCACTGAAAGAAAGAAAGAATGGGGGCGGGGAAGCAGAGAGGGAGGGAGGAAGGAAGGGAAGGAGGAAAGAAAGAAGAATTAGGAAGGAAAGAAGGAAGGAAGGAAAGAAGGAAGGAAGGGCGGGAGGGAGGAAGGGAGGGAAAAAGAAAAAGTAAAAATATATTTTCCAAATAAGACATACAACCCTCTTATTCCTGACGGATAGTCTGGAAAATGGAGAAGTAAAGAAGATAAATGCTTTTGGCCAACTCCAACCATATGCCAAAACTAAATATTGAGCTTT